GGTATCGGTGCATCCCTAACAATAATTATTTGGGGCATGAAACGGGAAACAGACTCTCTCGTTTGTGGACGTTTGATCTGCAGCCTTGGTTTGTTAACGTGTTGCACAAATGTCTTGATGCATCCTCAGTCATCCAGGTGAGTAATCACACAATGTGAACCAGCCTGAAGTCAGGCCGACCTGCTCCGTGTGCTCGAGCAGCCGCTACGATGCGCTGCAGCTCTCTGATTACTGTGCTACCGTAAACTTCATAGCAGCTCCAGTACGATCCTACAGGTGGCGTCGCTCATCCCTGTGTCCACATACATCCATGTATCATCCCAGTAAATGGTAAACAGACTTACCCCTAACCCTGACACTGGGACATGCAGACCTTGTGGTCGGCGCTCTAACTTCACCACAGCTCTTCTCAAAACAGGATTCAGAGATTTTCCAGACTGAGATTTGAAGACAGTTTTCCTAAATGTGGATTTGAGCTTAAATATGACCATTACCTGGATCATGGATGGATGACCCTGTCTTTGTGTCTCAGGTGGGCTTCAGGAAGGGTGGTGTGGACATCCTGGGGAGGAGGACTCAGCTGGAGGTCCTGCTCTCAGTCCTGCTGCTGGCTGCCCTCCTGGCTCTACTGGCCTGCCTGGTGGTCCTGGGACTCGGCTTCAGCTCAGGTGACGTATCCCTCCTTCACTCCTCTACCTCCTTTTTCCTTCAGTTCTTGCCTCCTTTCCTTCCCCCTTTCGGTGACCGTCTTGCTTCCTTGGTGTTGGCTTCTGTTGCTGCTCCTCCTTAACCTTCACACCTTTGCCTTTCCATCTCTGTGTCCTCCTTTCCTTCCCGATGCCCTTCTGTCCACCTCAGCCTTTCCTCTCGTTCCCTCCTCCCCCACGTTATGGATCGTTCCCACGCCTCCTCCTTTCTTTTGTTTCTTTGTCTCCATCTCTTTTTCCTTTCTCCTTCCTTTCCTTATATTTATCTTTTCTGCCTCCATGATAACCTTCATGACGTCCTCCTGACTGTCCCTACGACGTCCCCCCCCCCGCGCTGCCTCCTCACCTTCTCCCATAATTACAACTCTTTTCTTTGACCTTGAGTTTTTTTTTTCACCCATGATGCTCTGCAGACAGTGGGCGTGGCCTGTGCCTGTCGGAGGCCTGTGTCACTGTGGCCAGTCAGATCGTGGAGGCGATGGACCGCAGCGCCGACCCCTGCCAGGACTTCTACCAGTTTGCCTGCGGAGGCTGGATGAGGAAGAACCCGCTGCCTGACGGGCGCTCGCGCTGGTCCACCTTCAACAGCATCTGGGAGCAGAACCAGGCGCTGCTCAAACACCTGCTGGGTACGGCGGCGGGCGGCGAGATAATGGTCTCGCTGCTGGCTTCACCCTGTTAACACTGTGAAACGTTACTGTTGCTGCGTAAGACGAGCGCACGGCCGGCTTTCTAAACGTGGACTCGTTTAAAAAAAAGTTTGTTTTCATTCTTTAGAGAACGGGACGTTTAACGGCAGCAGCGAAGCAGAGAGGAAGACTCAGTCCTACTACCTGTCCTGCCTCAACACCCAGAGGATCGAAGAGCTCGGAGCTCAGCCTCTCATAGACCTCATCACCAAGGTACAGCCGGTCACCATGGCAACCGCATCACTCAGGCAAATTTGCTCCAAGTGTTTAAGGTTGGAGACAGAAGTGAGTGAGTTTTTGTCCTGCAGAATGAAACGCAGGAGAAACGAGACATTATTGTTTTCATCTCTTTACTGTAAAACGACTTTTTCTTTTGGACCCTCGGCATCTTTGTGGTTGGTGGAGAAAATCCTTTTTCATTTATACAATACTGAGGATATTTGGTATGTTATCATAACAAATGACCACAACGGTTTAATTTTGTGTTGTGAGTCAAGCTGCTTAATCAAATGATCCCAAAGTAAAGGACATGGAGCGATCGGCAGAAGTCCACACTCGGGAATGGGAACGTTGTTGTTCCATTTATTGCACATTTATCGTTACAATACAATACAAGTTTATTTGTATAGCACGTTTAAAAGACCAGTGGTACACCAAAGTGCTTTACAATAAAAACAGGAAAATTAAGACAATAAATAAAAGACTATTAACAAAGTACCACATA